CTTGATGTTCATGTTACCCTGATACTTTTTCAAAAATTTCGAATTTTATAATTTCACTGGATATTTTTTCAATTTTCAAGTATTCAGTTTTTAAACAATATTTCGATTGATTAACCATTTACAAAAGAAAAAATTGGAATTATTTTGAAAAAAAAAACATGAATGATAGCGGGATCGAATTCTAGCCGTCCGTGTGCTAGCCAAGCACGTTGCCCATTAGACAATGCGCTCATTATAAAATTTTAATTCCATTAGTAATATATCTTCAATATATTGAAGAATTTGAAAAGCTACAAGATGTGGCTTCCCCCTTTCGCTCGTTCTACAGTCGGCTAAATTTCAATTAAACAATTATAAAATAAAAAGCATTCATACCGCAGAAAATAAAATTCGCACCGTCGACTTGATGGACACCCCAGCATATGCAATGGCATGTGGCACCCTCCCTCTCTTGGGGTGCGGTACTACGATGCCGCTGGGGTCAGTCCTACCCCCAGAACTGAGCCTCTACTTTAGTCAATCCTCTTTGAATTAACGATTCAAAAATAATCAACGGAATCTTGTTTTGAAAAAGGAGGTTAAGGCATTGAGAGCAAGATAAGGCTAACGAACTTTGAGAAAAAGTTGGAAGCTGCAGAGAATACGATTACGATCGTAATGGAGGAAATTACGGAAGACAATGGGGTATTTCAAGGATTCGACCCCCAGGATGACGCCTTTGAGGGGACTAGGGTGAAACTACAAAAGTTGAATGCAGTGACTACCTTCTGGGAGCGAGAAACAACGAGTGAATTTCCAGAAGTTGATGAGATGATGGAGGATGAGTCGTTGTCTGTTCTTCAGAAGTCTGAGGCTACCCTGACTGAGAAGATGGAGAAAATCAAGTCTTCAGTTATCGATATGCAGAGAAACACTGAAAGATGCATACAGATTCTCCAGAAAATTGAAGATTCGTTGAGAACTGCTGCGACTGAGGAGCAAGTTGTTTTGGAAAATTGCTCAACAACTACGACAGCTGGAGACTCAGAGATAATCGATGCGGGAGAGATTTCTTCTGGGAACCATCAGGATAACGAGACGTCCGATGCAGGTGATGGATGCTCATCTACAGGAGAGGGTGGACGTGAGGGTCAAGACTGGACACCCAGTGCTTGCCCACCAGAGGAAGATCTTAGGATCAATGTCAGTGGTTTTTGGCTTTCACCATCGAATTCTCGATGGTTCAACATTAACTGGGACGAAGAGTACACCCAGAACCAATATCGCAAGTTCGCCTGCAAAAAATGCTCGATGGTCATTGAAAATAAAGTCAGAATTCAGGATCATGTCTGGGTGTCTCACTTCGGGGGTAGATTCAAGTGCCTTTACTGCTCTAATGATGAGAGAGCCCTCACTAGAAGATACAGTATCGGACATCATGTGAGGACCAGGCACCCTGAGGTAGCCCTGTCCATGAATCGAAGGGGAGATTGATGGTTTTTGTTTTTCCTCTCAGTTTGAGTATTCTAGCTATTTCATTGCGTTAAAGAATAAATAAATTAGCGGAAAAAAATCCATTTTCGAGAAACAGTAATATTCCTCTCTTCTCCTGAATCTTACCTTTAATCTATTCTCTTCGAATGAGATAGGAGGAAAGAATAGATACAACATTTATTTTCTTACAGTTTGTTCTTATTCTTATCGACAAGCAATTTTTTCTTATAAAAAAAAACATAGAATTGGTATTTTCGGGGTTTCTAGAAATGGCGATAAGCATGAAAGTATGAAAATATATTCTACCGCTCCCACCATGAAATTGAAACTGAACTTCAAGTTTCTTTCAAAACATATATAAAAACGTAGTAATGTCATGATATTGAAAAATATTGATAAACGTAAAAAATCTTTATAAACATTTTTCTAACGAATAAATGAAGGACCAAACTGAGGCATTTAAAAAAGAACAGTCTTAAGATCAAATTTTCACCTCCCGATTTTTCTCCTGAGAAATCAGAAACGGATGTTCTCTTTTTTCTGAACACCTGTTGCGGCCTTCCATGTGAGACGATAATTGCAATTACATTGAAATTTCTCCTCATAATGGAAAACCCACACATGATCCTTCACTTGTCCATGATTTGCAAATACTCTGTCGCATTTTTTGCATGGGGAGAACGTTCTTCGGCATCGGAGAAAGATGATGTACTCGTATTAGCTTCTGGTATTTCAGCCTGTAACTTCAGTATTGTAATTTTCGCAATCTCAAGTTCCATTTTCTGACGGTCGAATTCCTTCTGCAACAGGAAATGCTCCTGCAATTGCTTTTCCAATTGCATTATTTTTTGCTCTGCCATGATCAGCTTCTTTTTGGTTTCTCTTCCAGCCCTCTGGAGATTTTCTGCTCTCGCATCTATTAATTCCTTCATCTTCTTCTCCATTGAGGTCTTCACTCGAAACAATTCGGCTTCCGCATTCATTTGAGCTTCGCGTGCTTCAAGAGTATCATCCATGACAGTCTTCAATTCACACAACAGCTGCTCTGACATCTCAACCTCTGAAAGCACCTGGAACTGGAGCATATCTGCCTCTTCTCGCAGTAATTCTCGACTTTTTTCTCGAATTTCGAGAAGAGCTTCCGTTTGGGATAACCTACTGTGGAGACTCTCTATTTCTCTCTTCATGACTTGAGTCTCACGCTCAGTAACGGATGCAGATTGATTGGCCGAACCTGAAGAACTTGAGTTTTGGTTTTGAGGCTGTGCAGGTGATTCATTGTCTTCAAGGGATGAACGTGATGAACTCACTATGCATTCATCCATCTGAAAGTTATGATCTACGTGGTATTGGAGAATAATCTAACCTCGAAGCGTTGATTCATGATTCAGTACTTACATTGAGATCGTCCAAAAAAATGCTTTATTTACTGATATTATTTTCCACGGGAATTAAACATGTTCGGTAGAAGTATAAAATATTTCAAGTAATTGTTTCTTTCAATGTCAGAAAAGATTCATACTGTTTGTTCGATAATGTACGTCGAAATCACATTCTTTCGCGAAATGCACATGCGCATCGATCGTGGCTATTGCCGAAATAAAAAAAATCGAATTATGAACATGGAATTTTGTTCCATGTGGTATTACAACGAAGAATGAAATCGTACAGTAGAGAATTGAGTTTATTACAATCATAACTCATTGATTCGTTCAAGACACCTGTCAGAATTTGATGAATACTATTTTTTTCTTATTTGCGCTGTTCTTCCAAAAAAAGAAACTCATAAAAATAAATAAAAAAAGCTGCTTCTACATTTTTCATATGCAGCCACTTCGTTGCTACAAAATAAATATAATAATGGCAATAATTGAAAAGTCATAAAAAAACTAAAGTAAGTATCAATTAAACAATTGAAATCGCCAAGAAAGAGGAAATTTTCGTTCCTACCCTGGATCAAAAACAGTTGCTGATGAAAAATCTTCCCTTTTATACAGAAAAATATAAAAAATATCAACGCTAGTTAAAGAACTTCGCGACCTTCGGTAATCACGAAGTCCCAAAAAAAACTATCCTTCAATGAATTAAGCATTTTTAACGGTTTTCATGCCAACCAGCTGTGGATGAGCTTTTTTATTGTGTGCACTACCGTATCTTGTTGAGAGACGATCAGAGCAATGAATGCATTGGAATGTCTCGCCATAATGGGCAACCCAAACGTGATCCCTCATTCGTGGTTTGGCCCTCGAAATTTTTGGACATTTATTACACTTCCATTCCTTCCCTCCAATCTGTTCGTACTCTTTATCCCAATCAAGTTTAAAGAACATTGAGTTCGTAGGACGAACAAAACGAACGTTGAACGGCTCTGTGGCTTTTTTACAAATTCTTCGTGGCTGCACTCGGGTTAATTTCACCACTGCCAAGGGCATGTCCGTGGAGGTTTGTCGCGGGGGACTATCATCTTCAACTGAAGCTTTTGACGAATTACTCTCATCATGAGACTCGTAATCATTTGCCTGATCACTCATCTCTCCACCCATCATCAAGCCAGATTCAATTGTCGTGGCTGTCATCGTGCCTGGATTTTGTCCAGCCTCCTGGAATGGTTCTATTCCCTCACTATCTATCACTCCAATAACCCCTTCAGCCCTCCCCTCACCATTCTCCTCCATTGACGGATATTCCTGCTGCTCCAATCTCTTCTGCAGATAGTAGATTTTCTCCTTGAGAAGACATTTCTCTTCCTCAGCATCTAGATGAGATGAAATAAGGCTTTTTGCCACTCGAAGTTCCTCCTCCAATTTCTCGACATGGTCTCTCATTGCGATAAAATCGTTCCATGGTTTAGACAATGTTGTTGCAGGCTGTAACTTCTGAATCGTGACCTTGGCTCGTTCGAATTCCCTTCGTTGACTATCGAAGTCCCTCTTTAATCTCGATTGATCCTTCAGCTGATCTTTTAACTCCATGATCCTCTGCTCTGCTGCTTGTAATTTTTTTTTCATCACCGTGCTTACATCTTGGAGCTGTGATGGTGCTGACGAGTTCTGGCCAGTGGTGTTCACGGCCTCAGTTGTCACCAAGATATGTTCAACCTTCAATTCATGGATTTTCTTGTTAAATGTGGTTTTCACTAGAGACAGCTCTGACTCTACAGCTATTCGAGATCTGTTAGCTGCTTGGAGACCCTGGATCATTGTTTTCACATCCTCTCGCAAGCGTTTTGTTGTCAGTCTCTCCATCTGCAGCTGGTCTTCCAAGATGGCCTTCTCCTTGTCATACCATTCACTCATTAGTCCATTCTTCTTCACTCTGTCTTTGACTTGGGACAATCTACTGCGAGACTTGCCAAGTTCTTTCTCTAGAACTCTCGAGTCCGACTCATTACTGAGTGAAGAATTATTTTCTGGATTTTGGCGGGTCGTGGTGTTTAATCTGACAAGTTTGTGGCTCCTTACAGTTATTTGTTTGCTTCCAGATGATGAGCATCGGATATTGTCAGCGAGCTTCGCGTTCATCTGGATGTTGAAATCGTTGAGGTATTGTTTAGTCAATTAATTCCAATGGAACAATGCCTGGCCTCAGATATCAATGGATTTAATAAAAAGTTAATTACATACGCTTATAATTCTCAATTAAATTTAATGCGAGAACAAATAATTATGCACTACAATTACAGAGAACGCTCAGAATTTTATTTTGTCTTCTTGATGTGGAAAAACACGTGTGTCTATCCTGAAATTTCCAGACGAAGATACTAGCGCTAATTCAATAGAGAGCGGTGAATTTAAATGCGAGGACATATATGTAGTGTGATAAAAATTTTATTAATTGATTAATAATGATTTTAATATGTACATATGTAAACAAAGGGAATAAAAAATAGTGCAATATTCAATCTAAATAATTCCTTTCATCCAACATAGGGAGGATTTTCGCCAATGTTTCTCGGGCTTTCGGATTCTTCAGAAGATCAACTGATGCCTCTCCTCGTTCAAGAACGACGTCCAGGTCCTCGATTTCGTCGTCCTCTGCAATCATCTTCGGCCAAAAAGTGAGCCCTGCCATAATACCATAATCTCGACGCTTATACATTGATTTTTTCAGTTGTTCCAAAGTTGGGGGATTCGCAGTGCACCCAATTCGTGCCATGGTATTTGATAAATGAGTCAGGTAGTGTTGTAAAAAGATGTCATCGTGGATCATCTTGATATTGGTCTCAGGAACAATATTGAAGATGTACAGAAGATCGACTGCAGGTGATGTCCAAACACACATTTGATAATCAACCTGAAAAAAAAATTGAATACCATATAGAGGTTAGTGAATATCAATTAAAAAATACTTACCATACGCATTTCCAGTGGTTCTCCATTCTTGTCATCTTTGAACATGAGGTTATTGACCCACAAATCTCCATGATTCAAGACCTGAAATTCGTCTTCATCATATTGATAAGTTCGCTGAAGATTTTGACAAATTTCTCTGGATTTCTTGTGGAGTTTATCAGATATTGGGATAAACTTTGGATCCATCCAATTGCAGATTTGCTCTGCAATAGATTTCAAACCTTTTGAAATAAATGAGAAAAATGCCTCGGGTGTTTTACTACTGATAAAGCCAGTCGTCAGGCGGGAAACACACCCAGGATTCTGATAACAGATATAAATATATGAATAAATATATGACCAATGACTTTTTCCATGTAAAAGCAGTTCCAATCGATTTTCTTCACCTGCTCGTTCAATAAAATTGATCCGGCATGAAAATTCGCGATATATTTCAGTATAATGGATACTTCAACTTTATTCAATCCGTTTTTACGATTTCTATTCTGAAAGCCGAGTGAAATTAAATCTTCCATAACGATAGTACATGGTTCATTCGATGAGTAATACACTTTGGGGCCCAATCTTTTTCCAACAAGTTTCTCCACCTTCGGAACAATTTCCTCCAACATGTACCGCTCAGTCTGGAAGACATCGAGATCACGAATATATTCCAGAGTCTTAACATTCGCATTTGGCTCCTCTTTCATGATCAGATGAGCTCTCTTCTCTACTTTTCCATTGTGACCATCACTGCAAATGTATTTGAGAGTAAATCTTGTCAAGTAACTCAGATAATTCTCTCCTTTTTTCACCGCGGCCTTTTTCTCTACCAACTCAACATCCTGAATCGTATCATCACACATTCCCCAGTGCAGGACGTTCTGGAAGAAGACGTCTCCAGGATCGATTCTATCCAGAATCATGAGGCGCTATTTATGAAAAATAAATTGACACCAAATTGTTATTGATTCTGTTCTTTATCATGAAGAGAAAAATTATACTCATTTGTGGAGAATTTAGATTACGAAATTGTCACGCAGTTATTCGTGCTTTTTTTTAATAGTCATATTAATTCGATTATTATTCTTGAGTTAATTGGGAAGAAACACTATTGATGATGAGAAGAAAACAGATGCGATTCATTATGAGACTTGCATTTAATTTACTCGGTATTCCGTCGCTTTAATATCGGGGGTAATAAATCAGGAGTCATTGTGATAATTTCCCAGTGGCTGTTATTGACTTCATCCGAACTATCGTCAATTTAAATTATGCACATTTCCCTTCTCATCACAAAAATAGCGGAAAATTAAATGTGTTGTGTTAATTGTGTTTATTTTACTTGTGTTATTACACTAGTGAATTCCCACTCACAACTGGACTATCTTCGAAAAATTCAGTAATAGTTTCAGTGCTCGGAGGCTCCATTTTTATCGAGCCCATGACACACGGTTGATTCATACTCGACTAGAGTTTGATTATGGCAACAGACGAGTTTATATACCCCTAGACTGAGTATAAATTTATTTATGGATTGGAGAATGCGTTTGAAATTAAGATGGACACTCCACGCGTATCATTTATCTAGCTTTTATCTCTTATCACAAACTCCTATCGCTTTATAAATCATAATGTTACTAGTATATCCTTGACGATTCAAAGATTTCAAAAGTTACGCCTACTGACACGTGTTATTACACTGTGAAGTGCAATTACTTCGTTGGGATCGTTGCGCGATCATGAGCAATAATGTAATTGAACTCGGTCATTGCTTTGAATGTTGCATGATTTTTAAATTGGAGTGTAAAGTTCACATTGAATGGACAGTTACAAATTCGCTATTGTTGTCATCAAGTGTTAATTGATGTATCAAAAAAATTGAGCAATTCAAAAAATTGAAAAGAGAATTTCTGCATAGAATTCAAGAGGCAGAGGTTGAACGCCGATTCTTCACTTCTGATCTATATCACTCGATGTGAATGCCATCATCTCGGGCTCAAGAATTTCACCAATAAATCTCGCTGCACAGCTGATAACATAAACATTGCTGTAAATCATGCAACTTTGTAGCATTTTTTTCATTAACAATTCTGTAATTTCCTTTACTATATACAACTTCAAGAAAATTTTTAGAATTATTTCAGTAGTTTAACTCTTTTATTTCATAAAGTTTACCTATCGCATTTGCATATTGTACATAATTTTAAAAACATAACTAGTAAAATCAGAAAATTGAAAAATAAAAAAAAATCAATGATTTAACTCGAACACTAGAGGAATATATAAGAGAAAAGATGAGTTCACATATTTCATATTTTTGTAGAATCTCATAAAAACATGTATTTCCCAGAATTCACGTGCGCAGCTCGGGTAGCGCAAAGAGCCTGTCCGATTCATGGCGCGAAATAATAGGGATTTTAAATGCATGGTCGTAACCGTGCAAATGACTACACATTCATATTCAACACGTTGAAGTCATATTTACCATCCACGCCAAATTCACCTTCGAATAAAATAGAAAAAAAATTTTAATTGATTCATTATTAATTATAACACGTCGCTACATAACGCATGCGCATTAAATGTAAAATGTTAGAATTGTTTGGCGTTCCAAAGACCGCGAACACGACTCTCGTCTAATACCTGTATTGACCTTTGAGAAAATTGTTTTATTTGTGTATGAAATCATCAGTAATACACCAAACCAATTCCAAAGAATACATGTGTATGAAGAATTATAATGAAAACTCTAAAAGTGAGTGAATCCTGAGGATTAATCGAATCAAATAGGTTAGGTACTATTATTTTCATATAGTCCACAATGACTGAATATTTTCAGATGGATATGGACAGTATAAATTATTCAGAGTCTCCCGATGCCATTGATGATCACGAGATCTCCCCAAAACGTCAAAAAATTGAAACATCGAATTCTACAGCGAAAATTGAGGAATGCAAACATCTGAAGGCACTACTGGAGATCCTTCGTGCCAGATTGTCACAGACTGAAGCCAGTGCCACACATTTTCACAAATTACGAAGAGAAGTTGATGAAATTTTCCTCAGGGAGAAGAACGAGCTTCAGGAGCAAGTGCAAGCTGCAGAAGAGAGAATAGAGCAGTTGCAGAATCATTTAGAGACAGCGGTGAAAAATAATCATGAATTGCATGAGGCCCTGGTGGCTACGGAAGCACACATGCTCGAGATGAAAACTGAAATGGAGCGGAGAATCGTAGCCTTATCCATCGATAATTATACACTGAGAACTACTGCGATTACTCCTAACACTAGTACTGAAGGACTAGTGTTAGGAGACACTAGCGACAAGGATGCTCTCCAAGCGAAGTTTGAGACAGCAGAGAAAAGGATACTTCTGTTGGAACAACAGCTGGAGAATAATCTAGCAGCTCAAAGGGAATTTCAGCAGCAAACGATTGAGTTGGAGCAAACCAAGATGATAATTGAGGCGCTGGACGCTGCAAACGGACAGAGATCCAAACTCAGAAGTTTCTCCAAGTCTCAGAACGAATCGAATGCCCAGGACACTCAAGTACAACAGTCCAAAGCCAAAGATCACACGTTGAATACAAAAAAATCCAAGAATGAGATAGTAAAATCACCTGCTGAGGCTCAACGCGTGGAAGACTCTGGGAGGAATTTGAGGTCTTCCACGAAGAGAAGTGGACATTTGAGAAAAGAGTTGTCAACTTCCATGATCATGAAGAACAGTGAAGCCACATCAGATAGTCAAGCGAAGTTAGAAGTTTTACAGCCGGAAAACTCGTTTTTGTCAGGAACAGAAAAAATTTCTATGAAAGAAGAAAAACTGACGTTCCAAGTGGATGATTATATTCCTGGAGAATTCCAGGTGATCTTATTTGGCGACGATTCTCCTAACCTAAACCTCTGTAAAGACTTTCAGTGGATTTTTCCAAATGATGAAAACTTCACAAATTCAGAACAGAGGACTTCTCAAGTTGATCTCGTTCGAACAATTTCAGAGCGAGAGGAAGACTCAGAAATTCAAGCGAACGATTCTGCCCTCAAAGAGTGTCACCTAGTTCTTGGTAAAAGTAACTCACGAGATCCCGGTGCCCGCAACAATCAGGGAGATCAAGCGAGTAATATTGACCAGATGATTGAATCGGATCAGGAGTTATCAGTTATTGAGGGAACAGCTTTAAAGAAAGAAGAGGAGAAAATTTCTCTTCAAGATGACGATTGTGTGCCTCATGAGCCCCAAGGAATTTCAATCGAGAATGAGACCGCGAATGGAGGTGCTGAGAATGGCTCTTCTTCAGATGATGAGTCTGAGAACTCTGATTACGAGCCAGAGGATAACATGAAGTTTAACGGAAAATTTTCCAATTTAAAACTCAAGGTTGGCACGTATTTCATTTTAGTTTCCAGTGCAAAATTTTTCCAGATAAACTGGAGTAATGAATACAAACAACTTGGGCCTTGTCAATGGTACTGTAAAACATGTGGTCATATGGAACCAAGAAAGTTTCTTGTGGAGGAACATGTTTGGGGGATCCACTATGGAGAGACATTCAAGTGTCCTCATTGTCCATTTCATTATAAAAATAATCATTTTAAAAGCAGGGCATGTGTAAGGAGTCATATGAAAACAAAACATATTTAACTGATCCCGCTTCAGCTAAACTCGAGACCTTATCACACAAATCCGAACAGTAAATATTCAACTGTTGTGATAATTACAGCTCATGAATGCTTGAGACAAATTTATAACTCAAAACTCGTTACTTGCTTTATTTTTACGATGTGACAATAAATAGTTCATGAACATGAGTGATTAACTTCAAGTTTTTCAATATTCACACTTGTACTTGTTTCTCATTTATCCCTTGATAATTATCAATATTTGCTGCCATTGATTGCGCTCTTAATGATTTCGATTGTTTGGTCGTACACAATTGTGTTCGCATCGTGCGCCCAAAGGAAGTCTTCGTGAGAAAAACTCCTATAATTGATTTCAGCAATCCCGTATTTATTCGGCAATTCATTATAGAAGCTTTTGACGTCCTGGAAAGTAAACGCACGGTTGACTGTTTGAAATATATTTATAGAATGCAAATAGACTGTATTTACTTGTTGAGGTGCGAGCCAGTCATTTAAACTGTAGAAGAAAAACATTGGCACATTCATCTGTGATGCGTCATAAACGGGCGGTTGAATTGTGTGATAAACCTCCAAGTTTTTTCTTATGCCGTAATCATAGGCTCTGAATTGGCCAGAATTATGAACTTGCAGGTAGTGCAGTAGAGCTTTCGATGATGACCCAGCCGGGAAATGCGCCACGAGGTTCGGTATTATATCCTATGATTATTTAACAGTGTAATATAAACGAAATTTAATCAAAAACTCAAGAACTAATTAACGTAATTACTCATCGTGACGTACTAAATCCAATTCGCTATAATCAGGTCCAACTTGTGAAAATATAATAGTTTCACATACTGCTTGTTGAATGCGCAGCCAAGAACAGAGCCATCGGGAGACTAGATTGCTAGCAGGATTTCGGGAGAGTATTTCCTTGTATCCAGTAATTACACTCAGGAACTGAGAACATTGATTTTTCATGCACATGATTAAACTGTTCGATCATAATTCGTTCAGGCTATTCACCTCGAAGGTCCGAGCAAATGGTGCCAAAAATCGCACAGGACTCTTCCAATGTGTTACAATAGCAACAGGTGCATAGCAAATGGCTAATCTTATCTTGTCATGCATGTCAGGACGGTTTGCTGCCATAACAAAAAGTGCTGTTGTTCCTACCGAGTGGCCAATGTATATTAGCGGTAGTTTTCGATAATTGTACACATGTTGTATCATAGCAGGCATATCGTAAATTCCCATCTCGTGCCAGGAGAAGTCCCAGAATTCGTGAAATTCTGGTGTTAGGTAGATGTGAGAACGGGAATACGTGTTACCTCTGTAATTACCCAACCAAACATCGAATCCAGCATCTGATAATAGATAGGCTGCAATAGGTGATAAGTGAGTTGCCGTTTAGATTAGATTGTGGAGTTGGATTTAGAATGAGTTCTCAAGCGAAAATTTATCAGCATTACCTAATGCTCTGCCCTTGCCTGTGAAGGTCCAATCTGCTGAACTGCTGAGGAATCCGTGCTGCAGGAATACTGGATATCCTGTGTCATTTGGAATCCTGTGCATAGTCAGCAAATATCCATCTCCAGTTTGCACTGTGTAACTCTCAGCTGGATATCCGGCTCGACGTATTATTTCAGGCTGTACCCAATTTTAAAGTTATCTTATTTATTGTTTAATTTCTATGGGAAATTCCTCGATAGACTAAATCCATAGTTGACTCTGGATTTAATTAATTGAAAATTACGTGGTCATTTGAAGTACATCATAAAGTCACGAGATACAAACCGTTGTTAATATTGTATCAGGATCGTATGAAAACAAATGATTCTCTATCCATTTTTCAATCGCATTGCTGTTCGAGATGAAATTACCGTCATTGTCAAATGATCTCTCTTCTGGTGTCAGTTGATTGTCCGTTATGTTTGCGAACACGGTGTCAATGAGTATTAAAATACAAACTGCACTTTGCAACGAACGACCCATGAAAAATTGCACGATTAAATATTTACTATTAGCTAGTATCATGTTGTACATAGAGGAGTTCGAGTCGATCTGCCGGACTGATTGCAGTTTTTTAATCCTGGCATAACACTTTGCTTTTTATTTATCAGTCAATTTTCATAATCAGCGTTAATGTATTCACCAAGGGCGCAACGAGCAGATGGAATCAGATATTTTTCTCCATTATTTTGGCTCTCGCTACGTCTTATACACAATGATCGAAGGTCCCGTTCATTTGGAATTCTCGTATCTTCGGTGAAATGGAAATTTAATCGCCTTTTTAGTGCGCCAATGTGGCCATGACATGATGGTTTCAATACAGAATGCATGTGATTTATTAGTTCGATAGCCTGAAATTTTTGAATCAAGGATGTTATACATGAATATATGAAATTTTTTGATTGAGAACATTCGACTGGATATTATCGAGTCAATTACTATTGCCTAGTAATTATGTGAATATTTGAAGAACCGCCGGCAAAAAAATTTCCAGATATTAAAACATGGGATTAGTTATTGATATTCAAATCTATTGATTATTTATTAACTGTTTATTAATTCCTACAATGAAGACATGTATTTAATGAAAAGCATTGATAGATGACAAACTATCTTGACAAGGTATGACGAACATAAAAAACATAATCCTTTATCTGCCTTCTGGACTGAAGTAAGCCAGCGATTCGTTCAATGAAGCTTTTTTTTCCGGAGTCGGGACATCCATGGATACATCAGCCTCTTTAATGCTCGATTCCATCTCACAGTCCTCCTCATTCTCCTCGTCAGCTCTCTTAGCCGTTCTGATTAGTAGATCAGGAATATTTCTCCACAATGATGTTGTCGTGGACTGTAGCTTCATGAGTGCCGTTCTCAGTTCACCTTTGTCCCGTTCCAATGATTCCTGAATTAGCAAAGTTGAGGCCAATTGTTCTCTTATAGCATCACGACTTTCAGTGATATCTGAGATTTTCTTTTTCAGTTTCATCTGGGTATCTCGTGCATCTCTTTCAGCCTCACTCAGCTGCGACTCTAGCTCCTGAATCCGTCGTCTGTAGTCTTTGGCTTGATTTTTGAATAGCTTTCGCTCTTTTTCCACTAGTCCGATTACCGCGACTGCTTTGTCGACCTGAGGAGTCAATTGCTGCTCTGCGAAAGAGGCGTCGAGAGTCAAATCAAGGGTTTTTTCATTCTGCTGATGCATCTGCAAATTTGGTTAGTTTATTACTGTTTGATTAGTTTCTGCAATGGAAATAAGATCCTGAATAGTTATGTAATTTCGGTGGTATCGAAAGAAGAAAAATATCTGTGAATTTCATCATCAAATCTCCCGGACAGAACGACACCGAAAAAAAATCAGAATTCACTGAATACAATTGCATTTATCGTATAATCCTCCTTATTTCATTAACTTACGATTCAAGCTGTTGATGTTCACAATTTTGAAGAGATAAGAGCGTGAACAGCAGGGGATGTAGGTTTTTTATTCAAGCTTTTGCCGGATTTATAACGGTTATACGTCGCGTGCAAAAATGCAAATGTTTTTTTTGTGTACTATAGTCCCGTCATCATCTATTCCCACGGAATGAGTGAAAAAATGGGTAAACTGTTTCCCGCGCAATTGTGATTGACACATGCGCAGAGAGGAAATTCACCCCTCTCTCTGCATTTTTTTTCCCTCTAAATTCGAAGTGGCGATACCTTCTAAGACATCATTAAGTTAAATAATTACAAAAATCATAGCAATATTCATTGGAGTTCAATAAAGTGAATCAAGTTTGGTGTTGCAAAAAAAAGTACATCAGGAAATTTTTAAGTGTTACATCAGTGTCAGTCAATCTGAGAAGTTAATCAATCTTCTCTAAACAACAGAGACTCGACAAACTAATTTTGATAACTAACAGAAGTCACAAGTGATCATAAAATAACCATAAACCGTAGAATTTTGACATTCAACAAGATGTCAGACAGTTCATCATCTACTCTTTCTCATAATTCCTCTGATAACACCGATTCGACATCATTTAATACCTCAAACTCATCGGACATGCTCCTCCTGGATAACAGCATATCCCTCACAGACTCCAATTTCGACAACTTGACAGACATTATCGAGGATCAATTTCCAAAGTTCCAGTCCGGATTGTACGACATTTCCGTGGATATTTGCATGGAGATCCCCAAGGATGACACGTTCAACAAGCCAGATATGCTGAGAGCAACGGTGTACACCATCTGCGGGGAGATATTCTTCAAACACAACTATTGGAGTTCCATCAGTTCCCTCGTAGCTCATCATATGGGAAGATCTTTAAATCTAACAAATAGTGTCTGGGTTCCAGTTCAGGGAAAACGTCTGGTGTACCTTGGAAAAACGAAAATCAGTGGACATACGTACGGAGTAAATGAGTACGAAAAACTTCCACTTGTCTATGACAGTATTACCTACAGCGATAACATCTGTGCCACCAACGTCATATTAAAATACTTTGTTAGTGTCTTTCTTACCCCTGGAGTTGTTGCTGCTGAGAGTATTTATGCAAAACATGGATTCAGGACTGATTATGACAGCTTTAATTATAAGAAGAAACACATGGATGATATTTTCAAGGGCCACAAGGCTGAGAATCTTAAGGTTTACGATCACCATTTAGCCTGGTCTAGAGTCTACAATGTCCTTGCTGCATACAGGGAGAATATCTGCAAGCAGAATAAATTCTTTGACGAATATGGATTCTCTTTTTAGATGAATCATTATTTTTTTGATATTATGAGATATTTTAATAATTTAATGGCCAGTCATGATTGGCGGAGGAATGAAATTCCTTACGTATACGTGATTAATAGATTCAATTACTCTTTTTACTGGCTTCAAAATAATGGATACCTCTTTGGAATGACAAAACGTGAGGTGCTGAATTTTTGTAGAACATTTTTAATTTTATAATTTATTTACTGTGGTGGATAGTCGAAATTACTTTTATATTTTTTACGAATGATTTAAAATTTTATAATTTATTCGTAATGATTCGGATACGGATGGAAGACTAATTGAAGTAGTTGTGGGATATTTAAATACCAACGATTGTTAGAATAGTAAAAAGTGTAATGTATATTAAAAATTTACAATATTCACTCAACAATTGTACTCACTTACGAGAGCATCCGTGTTCTGAAATTATTCATTAAATGTAAAAGTGAATTCTAAACGTAAAAGTAATGTAAATGCCAATAAATGAATTTCAATTTTAAATCTCCGAATGAATATAATGATTCAATTTAATTAATTATTCGAAAACTACCGATGAAAGCTCGTATTGGATTGATTCAAACAATTATTTTTCCATTGATGACGAAAAACTTCTGTTGCCGTGCTACAACTTGAAATGAATTTCCATGACTAACGCCACAAACCTAAACCGCAGGATTCATTTTACCACTCACACAATCACGCACCTGACACCTCGAATTGTTGACGATGTTTATAATATTATCCCATAATATTACCCCTCACTGTGTCAAGTTCTACATCGCGAAAACTCCCACAACACATTACTAAATAATTTTTCTCCACCTTAGACCCGAGATTTTTCTCATGCAAATTCCTTGCCCATTAAAAATTCCACAATAATTTCCAATAAACAAGGCCACGACTATTCAACGACTATTTATTTATTCTTACCACCAACCAATTACCACCAATCCCTCATTCATCCTCCCAGAGACACCAATTTTTCATCATCAAACTGTTAATAATCCAATGGTTTAAACGGCTGTCATCCAATTATCTCGTCAAGCCTGCATTCCTATTATCCATCATATCTCATGAGACCCTTAATTAATACCTGATAAAGAGTAACACTGACAGGATAATCTCGTCTCCTAAAAAATCCACACGAACATCATAATAATTACAGTAACATTAGCCTCGTGCACGTGAACTCTGCAAATTTACTTCATGACGTGAGATTTTATTTGTGATTTGCCATTATTTTTTTTTTCTCTTGAATTGTCAAGATCGATGATGCTCCACAAGGACACGACCGGTATACGAGGAAAAACCCGGATAAATTGGTCCGAATTTAGTGACAGTCATGCTAAAATATACGCAATGACTATTCTCTAATTGTTGTTCTCTTACCACCTGTGGTTGATGCGATTAGAGCCCCTCTGAGTCACATCTCCTGTTGACCTTTTTTTCCTACATCTTTTTTTCTCTTGATCCATTCAATTGTAGGAGGGATGAATAAAAGTCACGTGAAAGAATGAGACAGGGATATAATTTGTGCATTTGCGTATGGAATCTGAGGAAGGATTTGTGTATATAAGAGGTGCAACTGCGGGTGGATAATAGTAGTACTGCAGTTCTATTCCTAATTGAAAGGAGATTTATCAAAAGGTTTCTTACTACGGAAGGATTCAAGATGAAGCTACTTTGGGGATTTTTGCTAGTTTTTGTTCTCATCGCATGTGCTGAAAGCCAAGGTAGACATTTAAATAATCAACTTCTTCAGTCTCTCTTTTTTTCATTTCTATTCAATATACTTCTTCAATTCTCTCATTGATTGATTATTAAAAATATTGATTGAATCAAATTCCTCCTTCAATTTGGATTTTTCAACATTTTTCATAAACTAATTATATTTCTTCAGTGCTGTCTTTATTCTAATCCTCAGATTTGTTTAATTCATTACTCGTTATTATGATTATGCTAAATAGAATGTTTTCATGTGGCACAGATGTTTTTATTGTTATTCGCCCAATGAATTTTCATGCGAGTGAAGATAGTATTGGCTTATTAGCATTATCTTTTGGAATGTCACGGTTTGAACTGATGAGGTGTTGTGGTATTATTATTTTCTACTGTACTAATTCTGCATGCAATTGGTTAACTGGTCTTCGGGGGACAATCTTTTAGCATTTGTCATCCCTTTTCACCCATTTTACCCGTTCGTTCGATTTATATCAGCCCAAGAACAAGGACAAGTGGCATCTCGCAATGCCGGGGGTTGGGGTGGACGAGGAGGCAGATGGGGAGGATATGGAGGATACGGAGGATACGGAGGATATCCATATGGCGGCTATGGACGCGGTTACGGTAATTATGCCATTATTATTTTATTTTCTATCGAATTTCACTCGAAAAGCGGAAAAATTCACGAAAAATTACGCAAGAGTTTCGTCATCGACATTCAGTGAAAAATTAAAGGAAAAACTGCAATTGCATTTGAGTTTTGCCTAATTTAGTAATCATATCAGTAATTTAGCGATTTGTTAATTTTTTCAATTATCTCGGTAATGATGTTAAAGGAAAAATTAAATGGATTTGCAGTATCTAAATTCTGGGAACTGCATTAATGAGATTTTCTGGTACTAATGTTTTTGTAATTTTCAGGCGGATGGGGAGGTAGAGGATATGGGGGATATGGTGGTTACGGAGGGTATGGAGGATATGGAGGATATGGTGGATACGGAAACAACGGGCGTTACTAAGGACTCCAATTATTTTTACAACAACTTGAAAATCAAACAACTCTTGGATCCAGAAGTTAACAATTGATTACACGTTCCGATAACGAAATAAATCTGACAAGTATCGTTAACAAATTTTGTATTAATGATCATTTTTATCGGTTTCATTGAGCTCGATGCAATGAAAACGAAATAAAATCCTGTAACAATAATGCCTAGGCTATTCATTACACGGCATGATAAACCCTTTTATTTTCTCGTTCTTTAAATAATATTTGTAATGGAAAATCTTCTTTTGATTATTTTTGTTGAGATGACTCATTAGCAAGGTGATACTAATAGTAGAATTACCTTACAAGCGTTAAAAAGGTTGGGTTTTCCCGACACAATTCCCGAAATAAATTTAAAAAACAAAAATAAACCATCAATGTCTCCGGATTTTCCTATTAAATTTTCTCCATGCCTGATTCATCTCTTAAGAGTAAATTAATTCAATTGGAATTTAATAAAGCAACAGAATAATTCATTATTTTCCAATCACTCCACACCTACTATGCTAGAACGAACTGACATTCAATTTGAATATTGGGAATTTCCATGCAGTAATTAGGTACTGACCACAAACATCTCTTCCTAGAAACCCATTGAATAATGTTAAGAAATTCAAAGGCCACCTCTTCCCCAGATATTTCTACCATCATCCAGCCCACAAATTCATGAGGACAAATAAAAATATCTGTAAACATGGCTTCGACAAGAAGCCTCTTAGCGAGAAATATGAGAGGTCACACCTCAGTTGAAGGCCATGCATTTGAATCCCTTGGATTCACAAACTGTCTTGGTGAATCAGTAATCCTAATTCAAGGTAAATGGTCTCTGAAATACCCTGGAGCTGTCCAAATTGCGTTATTGTGCTCGTGCCGCTTGAGAAGATACATTTGTACGTTAATGAACGGTTTTACGCATACGTGTGGTAGTTTTGGATTTACCGGTCTTTGGTTGACGTTTTTTCAACTATAAAAAGTGAAGAACACGCGTAATCCACGGTCAGTTGGATTTCTGAGTGTCTATACATCATCATAACTGTCAGGAACGATTTTTGAGCGTAAATATAACGGAGATTTTTTTTAATCTTTAAAAATTGAGAATGGACTCGCGTTATTTTTTTGCTATCTGTGCACTTTTTTGCATCGGTAAATACGATTTTTTTTTCCTAATCCATTTTATGGTACTCTTTTCTCAATGATTGAACAGAATTTATAATTAACACTCACTTATTTGTTTAGGGTCAGTACGCTGTAATGATCTTATTGTATTCCCCGATCAGATAATTACAAACGTAAATACAGAGACAGGTGCGAGGTTCAATGGCGATACCAGTGGATTTCGTAAGGCGAATGGTTTTGGAAGTGGTTCGTATGGTACCTCAAAACCTGGAGGCCAGGGCTATCATCAGCAGCATAATGACGGCTTTCGATCGTATGAAGGGTAATAAATTCGGATGCCTGATTGAATAAAAACATATGACGCGGACAAAAATATTTCGAAATAATTCGATATTTGATAAGTCGAGTTCCTCAGGATCTCACTAGAATATTATAAAGCAATTTTTAATAGCGCAATTCTGTTTCACGAAACCAGGGGCTACGATGGCCCCCAGAACTCTTGGGGAAGACCGGGTGCCTCTAAAAGAGTAAAGCCGGGATTTCCAGATTTGGGCCCGGGCTATTCAAACGCAAACGCCCAGAGTAATTCACAATCCTCGAACGGACACTCCAGCAGTAATTCGCAAGCTAGTGCACAAACCAACGGTGGATATCAGCAACCAGCTTATCACCCATCAAATGGGCATCCAGACCGAGGATTTCCAGCTCCAAGTGGAGGATCTCAATCAAGTGCCAATAGTAATGCTCACGCCTCAAACGGCCATTCAATCAGCAACTCCCAGGCGAATGCTCAATCTCAAGGACATGGACGGTACAACCCATCTTATCATCCATCCAACGGCTACCCTGGTTACCCCTCTGGTGGAAGATCTCAGTCGAATGCTCAGGGACAGTCTCAGGCCTCGGACGGCTTCTCCAGCAGTAATTCAAATTCAAATTCAATATCCCTGGGGACCGGAGGTGGGGCGTCGAGTGCATCCTCTGCAGCATCAGCAACGACGGGAATTATCAACGGTCGGCCAGTGGCAGCCGCTGCTGCAAGTGCAGCAGCTGCCAGTGCAGGCGGTGCTCGAGGCGCCGGCACTTCCTCTGCCTCATCGTCATCATCATCATCATCGGGAAACTATGATAAGACTCCTTGGTTCTACAGAAGTCGATCTGCCACTGATGACACGAATGAAACCGCCGCTGATGATAACAAAGATAAAATTATCTTCGAAAATTGAAAATTAGTTTTTATGTTAATACCGTTATGTCGAACAAAGAATAATTATTCATGAAATTACGTTTTGCTATTTATTAAAACCTGAGGGAAGTGGCATTAATCAGTACATTGATGGTAAATTGAAATTCGTGAAGCGGAAAACATTCAATTCTCCGACTGACAAATTAATTGAAAATTGGGAAATCCAATTGCGAGTCTAAACGGCTTCCGAAAGTTATCGCACAATCGTCTGACATCAATCACTGTAAATAACTGTTAATTAATTATTCATGAGATCTGGGCCGCTTGTAAAAATAGATTTAGCGAAGTGGAATCAAATTATGCGTTATCTCCTTAATTTCTTCCTGGCAGTCCATCCCGAGTACTTGAAAATACGAAACGACTTGTTTTTCTCGCTCATAAATAATCCAGAATATTATGATAATGAGGAATATCAAGTTGAAGATTGAAATGGTAGACATGTACCATGAATATTCTGCTCGATCTTTAAAATTTTATCTCTCATCCGAGACGAGTTACGCGCAATCCGGTTCGATTGTATGTCAAGGTCATGGTTCAAACTTGATTTTCTTGTGTAATCGATTGATAAACCTTAGTAACAGGGTGAGATAATGACGAGATAGAATCGTAATAGTGACAAACAAATCTATTTATTAATGTTGCAACCAATTTATCACACACAAAACGTTAATAAGTACACAATTCTTAAGAAAAAAAAACAACGTCGATCGTACTGAGGATGAATATTCTCAGGTGAAATAAAATGATAAATAATTGATGGTTCAAGCGCTGAGGAAAAATACGAAGACCTAATGCTTTTGAACTTTACTCATGTCATGTGTCTACTCGTACTACGTCTTTTGACATGCTCATTATTGATTATGGCAATTCGATAACTCTTCAATGGGCTTTACAATTAATTCACGATTTGAAGATCACTGATAGCTCTAGTTTATCTTGCCAGCCTCCACATGATATGTGCCTTTTCCACTGGAATCAACAGCGGATGAACTGCTGCTGTAGACACCCTTTGCACCATCAACTGTTCCGTCTTTTGAGACACTTGCACTAGCCGATCCGGGCTTAGTACTCGTCCCATTGTTCGAGTCCTCGTCATTAAATCGGCTGAAGATACTGTGGAGAAAGAATCAAATTCAGTATTACAATATAATATTTCGAGAAAGCGCACAATTGCGATCACTGGAACGTCATGAATTCGAAGTCAATCATGAAAATGGAAATTCATTTTTCTCGTCAAACCGACATCAGCAAATAATTCACATGAATAATCCACGATAAAACTCTTCCAAAAAAGTTATGGATATTCCAAATGCCCGTATCAACAAGACAAATACTTACTCGAATCCTCCAGCATTTGCGTTGGCATTTGCATTGGCATTGGCAGTTGCACCACCTAGACCGCCTCCAAAACCGCCAGCAGAGGCATTGGCATTGGCATTGGCATTGGCATTGGCACCAGCTTTGCCGAGACTGTTGGCATTGGCATTGGCATTGGCGTTAGCGTTGGCATTGCCAGCACCTCCAGCACCTCCATGCCCAAATCCACCAGTCTGGTATCCACCTTGGTGACCCTGTCCATATCCACCGGTCCCGAAACCTCCCTGTCCTCCATATCCACCAGCTTGACCATGTCCACCGGTTCCAAAACCTCCCTGTCCTCCATATCCACCAGCTTGACCATGTCCACC